GATCATCAGGGGGTCTTTTGTTCCCTCTTCGGGGGGAAACTCCCACTGGGTTTAAATCTGGGACTCTCCACCATTTGACCTTAGAACTGAAGAAGCCTCTCGGATGAGAGGTGAAACGTCTTCAAGCAACTCAAAGAAGTCCAGACGCTTTTCTTTCAAAGCTCATTAGACTCAGGTGTTTTAAGTCCATCTGCGGATGTGGCAGATCTATGAGTCTCTTGTAACAATATTACGTCTGCTTGCACTCTCTTTAGCTGATCAAAAATCTTTCATCTTTTCTCTATGGAGCCAGCTCCATGTACGTTCCATGAGACAAATCTTAGTGCACCCATAGATGTGTGTGTGAGTAGCTAAAATATGACACCTTCATGTGAATAAGATGGAATAAGTATCTAAATGTATAAAATAGTATGTTAATAAATAACAGAAAAGTAAATAATAATAATAATAAAGATCAACAGTGTTTGTGGTTGTATTATTTGATGCATAGATTATGATATTGTGCTGTGGATTTAATATATATATATATATATATAGTGTGTGTGTGTGTGTGTGTGTGTGTGTGTGTGTGTGTGTGTGTGTGTGTGTGTGCCGAGTCTGACGCAGTGTTGGAAAGTTGTGTGGTTGTGCCGTACAGGTGTAAAGGTGCAGAAGCAGGTAAAAATGAAGGGAAAATACAGATACAGGTTAAAAAAGAAGAAATAACTAAAAAGAAAAGGTGGTCGGGTGTGAAGTGGTGATGAACAGGTGATCTTATCATCTAGAAAACGGATTTAGCAGCTGTTTAATCCTGACGTGATCAAACCCAGTGAATCCTGATAAGAATAATAAATGTCTGACCTGATGTTGGGCTAAAACAGCCAGTCAGTCACTCCTCGCTCCTTGTAAAGCTTATTGTCCACATAAAGCTTATCCACCGAGATGACAGCTCTCTTCCCATCCTGGATAAACCTTTTGCGCAGCGGAAAGAGGACTCGGCGGCGATCCAGGATTTCCTTAGGAAACTGATCATTCACGCTGTAATCTTTTCCTTTGAGCTCTCTTCCGTGACTTTTAACAAGATCCTTCTGCTTAAAATGTTCAAATTTAGCCACGATGGGACGAGGTCTTCTGCTGTCCACTCGTCTAGCTCCAAGGCGATGTACCCAGTGAAAGGTGATGTTTTTTACCGTTTCTTCGGGTATCTTCATTTGGGTCTGGAGAAAGTTCTTTATTGTTTGCTCGCAGTTCTCCGCCCCTCCCGCCTGCTCCGGCAGACCTGCGAACACCAGATTATCCCTCATGCTGCGGGCCTGAAGGTCCAAAACCGTCTCCTTCAGAGTTTTGTTGTCCTGGGTGATCCGCGTTACTCCCTCTTCCAGGGAAGAAACGGACTCCCGCAGAGACGCGTTCTCAGAGGCAAGCCGCTCCACCTGTTCCTGGCTGAACTCCAGAGACTGACGGAGGTTCTGAAACTCCTGGTGAAGAACCTCGAGCAGATGAAGTCGCCCTCAAATCCCAGAAGCTGTTTATCAATAGAATCTAATAATTCTAATACATCCTTCCGGGGAGATGAGGCCTCAGGCGAGTCCTGAGGACGGCTCCTCTTGATCCCAGGTGTTTCAGCCTCAGCTGCTGATTTCTTCGGACCCATGACGAAAACTTCAAAAACTTTGTCAATATAATTTAGTAAACTTTCTAAATTTTCTTCACTTACCTCCAGATTGAGTGAGTTATACTTACCAGAATATTTTTTGCGTTGTCAGTAAATAAATTAGGCAAAAATGTGTACTATGCTTTCATTTAGAGTGCAATGTGACATTAAACTGCATCACTTAGAATAAAATGCTGGAAAAAATGGGGCGTTCTAAAACTTTTGACCGGTAGTGTATTTTGGTCCTCTTTTTCTAGGTCTTGTTCTTCTTTGTTAGCTTTGCTCGGTGGTCTAATCTCCAGACAAGATGGCGCCCATGAGTGGCTGTGCGTCTGCTAGGCTCCTGATCTGTTTTGGTTATTTGTTGTTTTTTATTGTTTTTTTTTCTCTATCTGGTGCGGAGTCCCTGCTAACATATGATCGAGACTTACTGTTGTCGATCAGGTCCGCGATGATCAACCTCCAGAACTCCGATACCGGACTCTGGAACCTGGCGTTAACCCAGGTCTCGGCCCTCTGTTACCTGTCGGCCTGCCGCTGCCCAGGAGGCCATGGAAGAGGAAACGGGGGAAGAGAGCCGGCTTCTTCGTTCAGCTTCGAAAGATCCTGAGAGGCGAAGCTCTGCCTGATTGCTGCTCCGCGGCTGTGTTGTGGCGGATCCAACAGAAACTTAACGGAGTTGGGCTGATCTCGCTGCTAAATGGAGCCCCTGATGTGGGACGCTACCTGAAGGCGTGGGAGACAAAGAACCTCCACGGGCGTAGCCTGGAGTCGCTACGTAGCTTAGCCCGCCAGCCGCCCACCATTATCGAGCCCGCGGCACCCACACCGCCAGATTCCTTCGCGAAAATGATGTTGATTAACGCGCGCTCCATCGCCAACAAGTCTCACATTCTCAACGATCTGTTCCGGACCAAAAAATTAAACTTTTTGTGGATTTCTGAGTCGTGGCAGCGCGAAAATGATGTCACTCATCTCCGTGAGCTCTGTCCCCAAGACTGCTCTTTCTTCTCTGCTCCACGGACCACAGGCCACGGTGGAGGAACAGCTGTTATCTTTAAGAAACACTTTTCGTGCCAAATTATATCCTCAAACTCCTACAGCTCATTCGAGATGATCATGATTAAAATTGGTCGAGTTCAACCAGTTTATGGAATTCTGGTCTATCGCCCACCTGGATCTACTTCATCCTTCCTGTCTGACTTTCAGGACCTCCTATCTTCAACTATTAAACTACACAGGATAATCATTGTTGGAGATTTCAACATCCACGCTGAGGATCTATCTAACAGCTCCACTAGGGAGTTCCTAAACATGATGAACTCTTTTAACTTCTCTCAACACGTGTCTGGTCCCACTCACAGAGCAGGCCACCCCCTGGATCTGGTCTTTTCCTACGGACTTCTTGTTGATAAGCTGCAGATACATGATGTTGTGTTCAGTGACCATAAGTCAGTTTCTTTTCATATTAACTTAAATTCTGAATCTCTTTTACCAGACTCTGCCAAGCAATGACGTATTATCAACAGTTCTACCATTTTAAATTTCTCCTCCCTCTTTGACTTTGTACCTCCTTCCTCTGATGACGTAGAGCTCCTTACCAACTCATTTAATGATCACTGCCTCAAAATTCTAGATCAGGTCGCCCCTTACAAAACCAGCCGCAGTTCCAGTGCCTCCAGTTCACCCTGGCTGAACAACCAGATTCTTGATCTTAGACGCTCCTATAGAAAAGCGGAACGACGGTGGAAGAGGACAGGTCTGGTTGTTCATCGCGAATATTTTAAAGAACTTCTCGAGTAATACAACGAAGCTGTAGAAAATGCCAGGTCTTCTTTCTTCAGCAACCTCATATGTCAAAATAAGAATAATCCTAAGGTTTTGTTTGATACCATCTCCAGCATCGTGTCTTCTCCTCCGCAGCAGGCTCAGCTATCTTCAGCTGATGACTGTAACAGATTTCTCCACTTCTTTGAAAACAAGGTGCTGAATCTGAGATCCATCATTCCACCAGCCTCCCCTGAGGAGGGGAGGCCCCCCAGTGCTCCGAGTCTTTCACCTCCTTCTCCCCAATTACACTAAATGACTTAACCTCAATAATCAGACAGATGAAACTCTCATCATGCTCATCAGATATCTTAACTCCCTCTGTTTTAGTCGGGTCCCTTGCCTCTGTCAGTCCATCTCTGTTGACTATGATCAACAGCTCACTGAGCCAAGGCTGTGTTCCATCTTACTTTAAAAATGCAGTAGTGACTCCTCTCTTAAAGAAACCCAACCTTGACGCAAGCTCCACCAGTAACTTTAGGCCCATTTCTAAGCTACCTTTCATCAGCAAAGTACTTGAGAAGGTTGTTGAAACCCAACTCAGATCCTGGTTTTCTAAGTCAAAGATCTCTGACCCCTTCCAGTCTGGCTTTCTGAAGCAGCACTCAACTGAGACTGCTCTAGTAAGGGTGCATAACGACCTCCTGATGGCTGCTGATGCAGGGAAATGCTCTGTCATGGTCCTGCTAGACCTCAGTGCAGCTTTTGACACTGTAGACCACAACGTTCTACTAAACAGGTTAAAGGCCCTGGCTGGGATTTCAGGTTCTGCTCTAGACTGGCTCTCTTCCTATCTCACTAACAGAACATTCACAGTGAAGTCCGAAACTTCTCTTCAGATACTGCCTCTAACATGCGGGGTCCCACAAGGTTCAGTTCTAGGGCCTCTACTATTCGCATTCTATATTCTTCCCCTAGCTGGCATCATTCAGTCTTTCCCAGACATCTCCTACCACATCTACGCTGATGATATTCAGCTCTATATGTCCTTTATGCCACACCAGTTGGACAGGCTGGCCACCCTTGTACTCTGCCCGACCCAGATCAGTAACTGGCTGTCCAGCAACTTCCTAGTCCTCAATGCTAACAAGACAGAGACCCTGATCGCTGCACCCCCGGAACTTCAGCCAAAAATCGAGCAGGAAATTGCCTCTTTTTGCTTATCAGCCAAGGCCAACATTAGAAACCTGGGAGTTATTTTTGATCCAGCTTTAAGTTTAGACTCACACGTCAAAACCATCTCCCGCTCTTGTTTCTTTCAACATTTCAAAAGTCCGTAAACTGGTTTCTACTGCAGATCTGGAAAAAATCATCCATGCCTTTGTGTCATCACGCTTAGATAGGGTTGCCAACTCCCTGAAAATTAAATAAGGGACACCTCGCGGGCAGGGCCGGCCGCTCCAGGCCACTCTTCCCAGCGTGGTGATTTTTTGCTCTTTTTTTGTGTGTGGGTGTGAAAGGATTTTTTTTTTTACTATTTGACTTGAAGTTGGTTTAAGAAGATGCATATTCTTTGTGATATGAAAACATGGGAAACAAATGATCATTTAGCCATTTATTTATGGCGTGAAATTACAAAATTATTATAAGTAACAAAGGTATTTTTCTTAAACAGAAAACTGTTATGCTCAACTTTTTGTGCAAAATGACAAAAAAAAAAAGTAGGTCTCTTTCTTAAACGGTAGCCTGTTATGCTTTACTTTTTAGAATATAAATAACTCTCTTTAAAACAACTCTGTTCTGCTTAACTTAAAATTGTATAAATTAATAGAAAACAACAGAAAGAGCAACGCTGTAACTGCACATTGAGTGCAATTAGAAAAGTGCAAACAGAAAGTCTGTGGAGAAGCTGTAAACATATTTGTGCCTCAAAGGCCTTGACTGTAGCCTACGGTTGAAGTAAAAAAAAAAAGTCCAAACTCATGAACTCAAAAGCTCAATGCTACATTATGTGAAAACAGACTATTTTCTCCATTTGTATTTCTTTTGAGATCTTGCTGCATTTAGGAGTTGTCTGTCTTTCAGTACTGCAGAGTAAAACTCTGAGCAAAACATGTCACAATTTAGAGTGACAATGAGCTCACATCTAATTATTTCAGTAGAACATTTGTTCCGCACATCAGTCCACTTATTCTTCATGAGAGAGAAAATCCTCTCTGCCAATCCAGTGGAAGATGGGATGCTGAGTACAAACGATACAACAGGCTGGATGTTGGAGAGGTCAGCTGCCTGAAGAATTTCTATACACTTCTCTGCTGTTCCCTTGGACTGCCACTTTTCCTTCTCCTGAGGTCCTTTGGTGAGGGGCTCCAGAAGGCTGGTTGCAGTGACACACTCGTCATAAAGCTCATCCATAGAGGTGTTTAACCTGCCAATGGAGATAAGAAGTAAACCTGGGTTATAAGCACCACATAGAACACTTACAGTGGTAAATAAATGGAAAACATTTATTGTATATTTATTACATTGTATAGCTTTTATACAATACAATAGTTCACTTTATTTATTATGTATTTATCCATCCTTTTAGTTTAAAATTATCCAAACAACATATAAACCAAGACAAGGCTACATCGAAACTAAACACCCAAGTTAAAAAAAAATAGAAAAACTAATGACAAAACAGAAACAGACAACAAAAATAATAAAAATAATAGTAAACAAGCCCCAACACAGTGGGTTTTTTTTCTTCATATAAATACCTTCACTTTAACCAGAGGGTTTAAAAAAGCAATGTTTACTTACCATATCTGCTTCTGCCGTGGCCTTGTGGACGACAAACTGATCGAGGGTTCCCCGTAATTTCACGTCCTTTATGTTTTTCATGTGGCTACTACTAGACGCATGTTGCTTGAGGTCAGTGAGTCCACCATGCCCTTTGGAAAAACTGCGCCGGTACACGGTGCAGTGCGCTTTATAGGTGTTATCGCGCAGTTTTTCCAGCTAGGAATTTTCCTTTTCCCATTCCTCCCTGTATTTTTGAAGCCTTTTTTCTTCTTTCTCGGAGGGGTACTGTCGTCCGAGACTTGTACAGCAGTGTCGGCGTTAGTTTCCCGGTTGGCCGTGCTGTTTGCTGTCGTGTTTTCTTCCGGTATCTTCTCCCCAAGCGACCGTTCCTCGACCAATGAAATAAGCGGTAATCTGTATCGTCATATTCGTGTGTAAGCATGCGGCCAGTTCATTGGTCACAGAGCAGGCGAAGGGCTGGCTTTCAAACAAAGCGTTAATTCCGGTAATAGACTACAGACTAATTTTGATCCATACTATATTACGGGACAAAGTGCGTCCCTTTTGAGTTCAATACGGGACGTGCACTTGTGTTTCTAAATACGGGACGATTCCGTTTTTCAAGGGACGGTTGGCAACCCTACGCTTAGACTACTGTAACGCTCTTTTTACTGGTCTCAGCAAAACCTCCCTCTCACGCCTTCAAGCCATCCAAAATGCAGCAGCCAGACTCCTAACCAAATCCAGCCGACGAGCTCACATCACTCCAGGTTTACAGTCCCTCCACTGGCTCCCGGTAGAATATAGAATACAGTTTAAAGTTTTAGTCCTGACCTATAGAGCTCTCAACAACCAGGCTCCAAGCTACCTATCTGAGCTTTTATCCCCACACACCACCTCTCGGAACCTTAGATCCACATCTGAAAACCTCCTGGCTGTTCCTCGAACCAGACTGAAAACCAAAGGGGGCGGGGCCTTTCAGACTATTGCCCCCAGACTTTGGACCAGTCTACCTTCAAATCTCCGTCTCTCTAACACTGTAGAGGTCTTTAAAAATCATCTAAAAACTCACCTTTTCATCCAGGTGTTCCCTCCCTAAATGTTCTAAAAGATGGCTTTGTTCGGGTTCACACCTTCACTTTGTTTATACTCATGATTTTATTTTCTACGTTTATCACTGCTGTTGTTTTTCTGATGTTTTTATTGGTTAGAGGTATTTGCCCTGATCTTTATCATGTTGTACAGCGCTTTGTGATTTATATCTGAGAAAGGCGCTCTATAAATAAACTTTTACTTACTTACTTACTGTTCACTGACATTTTCTGTATAGTACAGTGTTCTGATGTCCATAATAAATATTGGTGTGTGTGTGCTGGTTTCCTGTATGTGTTTATATTCAGGGTCCCGTCTTTTGTCTGCTTATTTTCATCATCAACTTTAGGAAACACCCCCCCACCCCACCCCCCCACCCCCACCCCTTAACCCTGTCTGACACTCACATTACGATGGTGGACTCATATCGCTTCCTGGGCACCACCATCACCCAGGACCTCAAATGGGAGCCCACCATCACCACCATCAGAAAAAAGGCCCAGCAGAGGATGTACTTCCTGAGGCAGTTGAAGAAATTCAACCTATCACCACAGTCGATGAGGCAGTTCTACACCGCTATCATCGAGTCCACCCTCACCTCCTCCATCACCGTGTGGTACGCTGGAGCTACCACCAGGGACAAGAAGAGGCTGCAGCGTGTCGTGCGCTCTGCAGAGAAGGTCATTGGCTGCAAACTCCCCTCCATTCAAGATCTGTACACCTCTAGGACATTGAGGCGTGCAGGTCGGATAATAGCTGACTCGTGTCACCCTGGACACGGTCTCTTCGACTCGCTCCCATCTGGCAGAAGGCTCAGATCCATTCGGACCAGAACCTCTCGCCACAAAAACAGTTTCTTCCCCTCTGCAGTTGGACTTCTGAATGAACATCCTAGGGCAGCCCACTTAAGTTGATTGGTCCCAGTCATGTGACCCGATGCTGTGCTTGAACCATTCAGCAAACACTCAGATTAATACCTACACGGGGTAGGTAGCTGCTTCTCTAATTCCTGCCACTTTTTACATTAAAAATTTTATCATGAGTGTTTTATTAGTTCTTATATTTGCTTATCTCTTAATTAATTTTCTTTTCTATCTTACCTTCTGCACCAAAATACCGCAGCAAGATCCTAATGTTGTGACTCGGCACACATATGGCAATAACTTCTGATTCTGATCTCCATGAAGGCTATGCTGCCTTATGTTTCTTCCTCATTTGTGGATTTTATGTTGTTTGTGTCATCGATGTTGTTCAGATGTTCTGTTAGTGTCTCCGTCTGCCCTCTTGGTATGATTTCTAGTACGTCGTCTACGTAGCGTTTCCATAATTCTATTTTGCAGTTTGGGGGTGGGGGGCTGGCTATGGCTTTTTGTTCCAAGTCCTCCATGAAATCCTCTCAAAGGGTGGCTGATAACGGGTTACCTGTGGCGAACAGCCCATAGCAGACTGCCTTGGGAAGAGGGCTGAAAAAACGACCGGTTGTGCACAGGAAAGCTCAAGAGTAGCCAGGTGGGAGCACTCTGTACCCAATCCAGGCGGAGTAGAACCGACGCTGGTGGGGAGGCTCTTTTCATCTTTTCCTCTCACAAAGCAGAGTTCCCACATATGAATGCACCAAAAGGAAAATTCCTGACTGAAACCAAAAACACTGAAATTACGTCAGTGATTAGAACCAGTATTTACGGCTATGAAATAAACAGCATATTAATAAAAACATTGAACTCGTGTGTTTAATGAGGCAAATGTAATCCCTCATCAAGTCCAGAGAGAAACAGTGACAGTCTCCATGAGTACACAAGCTGCTCACACACGATCCAAAGCTTATTTCACCGTGTTCAGGACATGGTGGTAGGGATGGGCATCGTTTGATTCTGAACAATTCCGATTCTGATTCCGATTCCTCGTTTTGATTCCGGTTCCAATCGATGCCCAACCCTACGTGGTGGGTGTAAAAGAAAATGGAGAGAACACCACGAGTCGTGACGGATGTAGCGGGAAGACAAAACGCTGGGCAGGTGTGATGGATGTGAAACAGAGAATAACTGACATGAATATTCCAGCGATCGTGATAAAACAGCATCACTAAAGGTGAAGACCCTAACCCTAACCCACTTTTCTACTATTTTATTAAGTACTGAGCAAGTTCCCACAAGAGGGCGAAGCGAGACCGGGTTCAGCCGTGTTGTTTCGGTGATTTAGCCGAACCTCTCCCAACCTAGCTTCCACTGAGTTCAATCACTGTTTCCTCAAAGCTGGAAGAGACTCCTGCCAGCTTCCATCTGATGCCACAGCACAGGTGGAGGTCCTGAAGCCTCTCTCCTCAGAGCGTCTCACTGAGCAGCAGCTGCACAGAAACATTCTCACATGCTCCATCAGAGTTCTTCCCAGGATGGACGAGTTGTTCCAAGTCCAGCGAAGCAGCCTCTATGGAAGTCTCTTCAGCTTGCACAGGTAGATGGGTCCAAAGTTAGCAGCCAGGTGTGGGATGACCATCTCACCCAGGTGGAGCTCAGGAGCAAAATGAAAGGTGTTTCTAAACTTCTGCACGAGAGGCTTCAAACTGACGACCTGACGGGAGAAATGAGAGGAACAAGGACAAGATGTGGTGCTTATTGAAGTCTGGATCCACCTGAAGGAGGTGGCCATCACCACGTGTTCCACTCACCTGAAGCTGGATGCCATGTTTCTCCTGAGCAAAGTGAACAGCCTGTTCCACCACACTCAGGTTCTGGTTCTGAGAGAGCGTGCAGGTGGAATAAACGATCTCCCCTCCAGGACGGGCTGCTGCGATCCCCGCTCTGCAGCAGAGCACATGTTATAGCTCCACATGAAGAAGTAGTCTACACAACACACCTGTGGGAGGTTCTTCACACCCAACCGTCTCACAGGAAGAGACCTCAGCGCTTTTATTCTCCACAGTTTCACCGTCTTCCAGAATGGACAGGGCATGGGCGGACGGACGGACGGATTACACTCATGACAACTCTGAGGGGGCTGAATCTTTGTGACTCTTCTGTTTAAGAGTATTAAAGGATCAGAGCCACGAGCTAGGCCTGAGAGCTAGCTCCGGGGAAAGGCCTGGGCCTCCCGTTAATAGATGTTCGGTCATTTCGACTCTGAACGTTCGTTTTTCTCTGTGTTCGGATGTTAATCATGGGAGTAGCTGGACAAGCTGCAGTAACAGACCATCCAAGCAGTTTCTGCATCATTTTCATCAGTGAGTAAAATCATATTTCTGTACTTTGTTTTGCTGCTTGGGGGAAATGATGTGAATTTAAAGACCAAGTCACCCCCAAATCAACTTTATTAGCTGGTAAACTATAAGGAGTGTGTGATCGTGCTGCAGACACATGTAGTGAATAATGTGGTGCTTTCGTGCATCTTAGTTCAGATTTAAATACTCTGCCTCAAACGGTCTTCAGGTTAAAACTGCTCTGCATTTGAATTTAAATCCGCCATCGCCATTGGCTAAGAGGTACCCTATGACATTAGCTGGTACAGTATGATGTCACAATGTCTTTGTGAGCCTGTGTGTGTGTATTTGTTAGCAGCTCAGCCCTCTCGGTTTGCCAGGCAGCAGCATTTGTTGCATTTTTCAAACAGGAAGTGGGAGTGGAGCGACTGCCTGGCTTCCATGTCAGGATGTCGTTTAGCTGCTTTGGTGCGGATCTCTGAGGGAGACGACAGAAACACTGCTGCTCTTTGAGTTGATTTTAGAGTCGCTTTACCACGTTTCTCTCGCCAAAAGTGCCCAAAAACCTTTGTTAGCTTGAGTTAGCATGTAGCTAATCTCCGACCGAGGCGTGAGCTTGCTTAAGCGGCCAGGGTGCCTGGCCCTGATTGCTGTGGTCGGAGACTCTGCTTGCGCCTAACCCTGACCCATCCAGCATGGCTACAGCCTTAGCGGCCACATGGGTCAGCTAGCCTAGAACTCCTTCTTAGCTTCTGTGATAAGCCAAGTTAGCTAGTAGCTACATTGGTTCATTTGTTCCAACCGTAACAGCTCCACCTCTTTTCCCATTTTTGGCTTGTCTGGGCGTGACGAGACGTGTGACACGGCCAAAACAGCGGTGGTGGGAACCTCCCATTTTATTCCACAGCCATATTAATCCAGCCAATGGGCGATCCGTGTATTTATATGATGATGGTGGAAGCAAAGCGGGTCTGTGTGTCCAGAACTTTCTAACTTCTAACTTACAGCAGCAGCTCCAGTTGGAGCTGCGGGAGCCTCCTCCTCTCCCCCGTCCTGCTCTTACTGAAGATGTTGTTGTCGTCCTCCGTGAGCGAGTGTCTGTCTGTGGTGCAGGGAACATCGACCAGGACCTGAACTCAGATAAACACACGTCTGTGATCATTTAGCTGTGGGTACCTTTAACATTATCACCAGGATGAAGTTTACAGACTCTGTCAAAGGTCTCTCTCTCCATCTCCCCCCACATGGTGCCGTCAAATGAGGTGATTCGAAGATTCTCATCAGTCAGAAACTGTTTAGGAACGTAGCTGTGGAGGACCTTTCTCAGCCGCGATGTTCGAGACATTGAGGAGTCATTTATGCATAAATACCCTGTGAAATAAACAAAATGGTGGAACTCAACTTTCTGCTGTTAAATCCAGACAAGGCTGAAGTTCTCATCTTTGGACCAGAACCTCAGAAAAGAAAACTGCTCACCTGATCTGAATGGCATTAAATTAGTCTCCGATAACCAAATAAAAAAATGTTATCTTTGACCGCGACTCGCCCTTCAAATCCAACGTTGAACAAGTTTGTAGGATTTCCTTCTTCCACCTCTGGAATACTGCTGAGATTACCATACCCCTTTGTTTATAGAGGCTTTTAAAACTGCATTACAACCAACCAAAGCACTGCACACAGGGTCCGAAATTAACACTCGCCAAATGCGAGTAAATTGCTCCATTTGGCGAGTAAATGTTTGAGCTCTACCTGCCACCTGGCGAGTAAATGTTTGCACCAAATTAGTTATGTTTATCAGTCATCTTCCATGGATTTCTGATACTCCTCCCGCCTGCATGCAACGTACACAAACGTACGCGAAACATGAACGCCGCATCCAACGTCATTTCCACCTATCCCATTCAATCAGTTTATCAAGTTAGCCGTTAGCTTCGTGTTAAAACTAGCGGTGAAATGTGGCGGTTTTTAATGAGTCAGCCAGCCTTCCAAAAGAAAACTCGTCGAACTGGAAGAAAAACCACCAGGACCAGTGGCAACCAGAAGACTTTGTGAAAAGTGGCGAAGTGGAGATGGTGGAGTCGTGAGACAATGGCTACATTATGATGACCACGTAGCGTTGCTGCCTTTCACAGACACTTTTTCTGCTCGTGCTGCAAACAGGATAGCCGTCTTCTATAAACTGTCTCTCGGCATTCTTCAAATATCCAAAAAATGCCCGTACTTCCGACTTTGTCTTCTTTGAGGGATAATAAATGTCCCGAGCGCTGCCGTCTCCTCCTCCGGCCATTATTTCAGCTTTAGCTTAAAGAAAGTTTTGGTCGTAAACAACAAAGTGCGCATGTGCCGCCGGCAACTTCAGATGATACGGTGGCTGGTAAGGGTCACCGCGCCTACACCGCAGCCACTGTAATCCACCGAGATAATTTTTTTTTTTAAAAAACAAGACGGTTGTTATTATTGTCAACTTTTTTACCGGGGTTTACCGCTACACCGGTTACCGTGACAACCCTAGCCCTGACACACTTTCAGATATTCTCATGGTGCAGCAGTGTTCTCCAGAGACCAAGGACTAGGACCCAAATGAGGCTGTAATGCTTTGGCACAAAGACGGTGTCAGAAGCAGGAGGCCAGACTTCATGGACAGAGAAAACAAGGAGTCTGACTAGATTTCAATGAAAGAGTTCATAAAAACATCTGTAAAAATAAATAAATAAATAGTAAAATGACAAAAGAGTTGTTTTCCTTATAAATTGATGTTTTAATTATTTTGTCACTCTGTTTGGAATCAACATAATATAGAATTACATGCTTTAGGTGGATCTAAATCATTTAGGATTTTGGCCGGTAGATTTTCATCATCTACCGGCCAAGTTGGCCGGTGAGTAAAACATTTTATTTCGGACCCTGACTTCACATAATAAAATACAGGCAGAAATAGTCCAAAAACCATTAATAAGAACAACAAAGTACAACTAATAACACATAGTAAATCCACTGATTTAAAACTGAACAACCAAGGTAGGACTAAAGGATGACTAAATATGAGCTAATGCTTTATGGTTAAGGAGTTGAAGGCCAGGGAGAAGTAGTGTGTTTTCAGGCATGATTTAAAATGCCTCACCGCCTCTCGCCTAACCTGGAGAGGTGGTGAGTTCCACAGATTTGGGGCACAGATAGAAAAAACCCTTTACCCACAGGTCTTCAAATGTGCCTTAAGGAATATTAGAAGCATCCTTTCCAGGAGTGATGCTGAAAAACTAGTTCATGCATTTATTACATCAAGACTGGATTACTGTAATCCATTACTCTCAGGAAGTCCACAGAATGTAGTTAAAAGTCTTCAGCTTGTCCAAAATGCTGCAGCTAGAGTTCTGATGAGAATTAAAAAGAGAGATCCTATCTCTCCTGTCTTAGCTTCCCTACATTGGTTACCTGTTAAATTCAGAATAGATTTGAAGATCCTTCTTCTCACATATAAAGCTCTTAATAATCAAGCTCCACCATAGAGTACGTTTACATGCAGCCAATATCCGGGTTATGATCGGGTTAAGGTCGGGATTCGGGTTTCTGAGTTGATCAGAATAACCCGTTTACAAGCATAAATAGAAAGAGTTACCTCTAACTTGCATAACCCGATTTAAATGCGGACGTTGGGGTAGCGTCAGGACGTGTGGACTACGTCCAGACGCAATATGCGTCATTTCCGGTTCTTCTTGTTCCGGTATCCGTGAAAACAACAACATGTTTCCCAGTTCGGAAGAGATAGCGACCGCGTTTGTTTGCGCTTTAGTTTCCTCGTCACTCAAAGTGTGGTGCTGTGCCGCGACTCGCCATGTTGCTCCCAACTTGTTGTTTACTTCCGGTGTTCTGGCACATACAAGACGTCTCGCTACTCAAAAGACCAAGATTCCTTGCGAACAGAGCATGCGCAGAACACACGCTTTGATGGGGATATCCCGGTATGCGTTTACACGACCAAACATTCGGGTTAGAAAAGGGTTACCCCAGGTGTAGCAACCGGGTTTTTAAAAACCCGGTTATGAGCATATCCGTGTTTTTGGCGGTGTTTACATGGACCTGCGGAACCGGGTTATTGTGAATATTCGGGTTTTAAAAGGGTTACTGGCTGCATGTAAACGCACTGATACATCAGTGATCTGATTGTTCCATACGTTCCTAACCGAGCACTTCACTCTCAGACTGCAGGTCTACTGGTGGTTCCCAGAATATCTAAAATTAGGATGGGAGGCAGATCTTTTAGTTATCAGGCTCCTCTCCTGTGGAACCAGCTCCCAGCTTTAGTCCGTGAGGCAGACACCTTGTCTACTTTTAAGAATAGGCTTAAAACATTTTTATTTGATAGGGCCTATGGTTAAAATCTGATGTTAGCCTAAATCTGGACAAGTGGGGGAGTAGAGGGAGGTAGAGTTTACAGTCGGTAAAGACGGCTCTCCCTTGCCCTGCCTCCAACATGCCTACATCTAAATAGGATAGATTATCCAGAGTTATCTCTGTAGTTATGCTGCTATAGGCTTAGACTGCTGGAGGATACACTGACCATTTTTCACACTCTACTGCTTTCTTCTACAACACATATGTCAGACTCAAGGCCCACGGGCCAGATGCGGCCCGCGGAGCATTTTTATGTGGCCCGCGAGATAATTATCAAAAATATATTAAAACTGGCCCGCTGGCCAATGATACCGCAAAGACTTCAACTCCCATGATGCTTTGCGGCGTCAGCGCGGAGCCGATGCGCCCCCTCCTTTGTGTTTTTCAGCGCCTGCTGCCGGTGTCTGCAGCTCCGCTGTCTCGGACAAACTAAACACTCCTCTCACTCAGCGCCGAGTTCACTCAGCTGTTTTCTGACGTTGAAGCCCAGAAACGGAGATTCTAGCCGCTCAGTAATGTGTTCACGACTGAAAGAGAAAGTTTTCCAACTAACGTCCAGACAGAGCTGATATAACTCCAGCGAGCAGCGACACGCTCAAACCAGCACGACTCTGTGGTTGTGTTTCCTCCCCGACACACAACAACGTGGTCAAGCTGCTCAGACATGTTCATCAGCACAAACCTATGTGAGCACCTGTTGTCATCTAATGTTGTCATTATTATGATGAAGATGAACAAAACAACAGGAGTCTCCTCCTCAGCTCAGATTAACCCCATGATGCAGGTATCTGGCTGGAACAGGTGAGCATCACAGTAAACCAGTGGAGCAAACTGAGCTTTAAATATGTTGGTTTGATGCTCTTTTTCTGCTCCAAAACATGAAAGTTAACAGGTGAAATGTTACATTTTCATTTAAGATAAAATTACATTTTTATTTTGTTGTTGGCCCGTGAGAAAAGATTTAACCTACAGTAAACAGGAAGTGGAAAGGCTGCAGATAGATGAATAGAATAGAAAATCCCTTTATTGTTCCTCAGTGGGGAAAGCTAGACGTCACAGCAGCGATGACACGTATTACAGGAGAAAAAAGGAGAATAAAAAATAAGAAAAATGAATAAACAAGAAAACATAAATCCTGAATAGATTTTTAAAATGCTGATTATACCACAAGTAATGAATACCACTGATGCCTTTTACTTAAAACTGACTTGCTCGAGTGTAATTTGGTTATTCCACATTCAGTGTTAATGCAGAAATAAGTTTTTTTTCCAAATTTAAAGGTTCAAAATTGCATATATGTTGATAAAGAAAATGTGCTAATTTGCGTCACTTTTTCAAAAAATATTAAGTTTGGCCCTCGACTCCGTCCCAGAGTTTCATTTCGGCCCCGTGTGAGTTTGAGTTTGACACCCCTGGTCTACAATCTGCTCTTTAACTGTACTAGTTCCTGCTATTTCAGCTGTTAACTTTATTTTTATGGCTGCTTATACTGAGCCAGGATCATCTGGAGGTTTCTTCCTGTTAAAAGGGAGTTTTCCTCTCCACTGTCGCTGCATGCATGCTTAGTATGAGGATTGCTGTAAAGACTCTGACACTAGTCAGTGACTCGATGCGACCTGCTGGTTCCTTATATAGGAAACTTGTTACTGACTGGCTTAATGACCTGACCTGTACTGTATGTTTACCATGTGAAGGTCCTTGAGACGACTCTGGTCCTGATTTGGTGCTTTAGAAATAAACTGAATTGAACAGCAGGAGAAAAATCACCACGTAAGAATCTGGTGAGGAGTTCACTCACTGATCAGCTGAGTCTGGAGCAGAGCAAGGGTCTTCCCACCAGGAGCAGCGCAGAGATCCAGGACTGTGTGACCCTTCTGGACATCCAGCGCGAGACAAGGCAGTATGGATGCAGCGTCCATCAGGTAGTACCCCAACAGGCCATACCTGTCCGGCCTTTGATGGATAGAAGGAACTCGGATGAGACTGGACTGGATGATGACACCTGATTAGGACTCATCCTCACCTTGCAGGCTTGAACCGTGTGACATCCCCTCTTGGAAACACGAAGCACTTTAGGTGTGGACTAAGCTGTGGAGGGTACTGCTGCTGACTAAGAAACTCCAGTGATGTCATAGAAACCTCACACGACCCTTCTTCAGCCCCGAATACCAGGCCTGCAGAAAAGATGACAACGGTTCAGCTAATCGCCAAATTTAAACTTTTCAATTCAATTCAGTTTATTTCTGTAGCTCCACATCAGGACCAGTCGACTCAAGGACCTTCACACAGTAAACACTCCAACACAGGTCAGGTCATTAAAGCTGCTTTCCGGAGGTTTCCTCTTTCAGAAATTATGCATGATTTGTCAGAAATCCGGAAAAGTGATGATCTCATCATGTCCTGTGATGTAATACATGCAATACGTCTTTTTTTTGTTTGCTAAGCACGCCCCCTGCCCGGCAGAGCTCCGTGCAATAGGAAGCTGAGCGTCGACCAGAACTAACCAATAGCGTTAGACTTCTGCTTAGACCTCGGCTGATGCAGAGTTGATGAACTTTTCACGGACAAGTAAGTCTCTAAAACATGAATATGAGAACACAACATGACATGAGAGTAAAACTCGTACAACAACATGTTTTAGCTCCGTTTGTCGCTACAGAAGCACGTTTATAAACAGAAACGTGAAGTCGTCATCTTAAAAAACAGAGGAACAGCAGCTTTGTGTGATACGCTTGTCAGCCACTAGATGGAGCCATCGGATAAGAGAAATACTCCGGAAAGAAGCTTTTAGCCAATCAGTAACAAGTTTCCTATATAAGGAACCAGCAGGTTGCATCGAGTCACTGACTAGTGTCAGAGTCTTCACAGCAATCCTCATACTAAGCAAGCATGCAGCGACAGTGGAGAGGAAAACTCCCTTTTAACAGGAAGAAACCTCCAGATGATCCTGGCTCAGTATAAGCAGCCATCCTCCACGACTCACACACACACACACACACACACACACACACACACACACACACACACACACACACACACACACACACACACACACACACACACACACACACACACACACACACACACACACACACACACACACACACACACACACACACACACACACACAGGTTACATTGTGGTTTGTTAGTAAATATTCTATTTGGTGAAAGATAAACTTTATTGTATTTATCCTAGTAGATCTATAATTAAACGGGTAAACTAGTAGTAGCACATCCAACGTCAAGGAAAGCAAAAAGTTATTATCAGGAGAGGGAGAATGTTTAAGTGGTTAGCAGCAGTGTGCTAGTCGATGGCCCCCTCCATGAGGCCACCACAGCTCAGCAGAACATCGTTGTAGCTTCTTCTGGGGAGAAAAACACTTAGAGAGAAAATAAAGTTAACTGTCAGCTAACTGAGTGCAGCAGCAGAGCAGTCGGATCCAAGCCGACTCGCTATGATTTAAGTAAGTGGTGTAAAAACCAAACACAGGCCTAACTCTGACAGAACCTACAGGCCACCATCAAAATGCCCAAAATGATTGTTTTGCTATTTTTCTTTTTTTATTACAATTTAAACCTGACAAGAATCGCTCCCTGGGCTGTCACCTCACCGTGGAGGGGGGGTTTGAGTCTCAATGATCCTAGGAGCTAAGTGGTCTGAGGCTTAATGCCTCTGGTAGGGTCACCCCTGGCAAACAGGTCCTAGGTGAGCAGCCCACAGACCCTCATGAAGAAAAATGTACAAGGAAACCGCATTCCCTCGCCCAGACGCGGGTCCCTGGGCCCCCCTCTGGAGACAGGCCTGCAGGCAGGGCAAGCTGACGAGCGCCTGGTGGCCAGGCTGAGTACAGCCTGAAGAGGAAACATGGGTCCCACTTCCCTCACCCCTCGTGAGAGGGGCCAGAGGGGTCAGGTGCAATGTGTGACGGGTGGCAGCGGAAGGCGGGGACCTTGGTGGTCTGATCCTCGGCTACGGAAGCTAGCTCTCGGTACGTGGACGGTCTCCTCTCTGGTGGGGAAGGAGCCTGAGTGGTTCTGACTAGATATGCATTAGAACGTTTAGGCAGCCTAGTTAACTTTCGTCATTTCCCCGTCCAACCCAAAGGGTTCAGATGAAGGCAGCTGGACTTCCTTGGTTTCCTGAAGACGTTTCTCTTCTCATCTGAGGAGCATTGTCAGTTCTAACTGGAATATGGAGGAGTCAAGCTTATAAGTCTGTTGTTGTCTAACGAGCAGAAACTACTCTGAGTACCCCTCCTCTCTACCCCGATGAGTCGTTGTGTTGGTTAGAGACAGGAAGGTGTGGCCTAGACTGAAACTGCTTAGGAACGAAATCCAAAGCTGCATTACAGGTACTGGAAAGGTGAGATCTAAGCCACGCCCCTATTTAAAGTAGGTTTTTTAATGTTCAACATCGATTGCTTCTTTTACTCCTCTCTCACACCGTCTATCTTCTCTGGAGTGGAGGGGTACTCAGAGTAGTTTCTGCTCGCTGAATAACAGCAGACAGCTACAGCTGATAAGCTTGATTTTCCCATATTCCAGCCTGAACTGACAAAGCTCCTGGGATGAGAAGAGGAACGTCTTCAGGAAACCAAAGAAGTCCAGCTGAACCCTTTGGGATTGTCTAACATGATTTAACTACGTCTTTGTTTGGCGACACATGACTAAACGTGAGCATCTCTCTTCCTGTGCTGCTGAGAAAATGTTCTACCACTTTTGAGCTGCAGGTGAGGGCCACACATGGCCCCCAGGCCACCCTTCAGACCCCCCTTCAGTAAAGGCTCACATACGGTCCTGGTGGCTGATGAAGTCTCTGCATCCCTGAGCCTGGAGGTCTTCCAGCACCAGATCGTGGGAGAAACTATTGAGCAGCGCTCCGTACTTCCTCTCTGACAGCAGGGCAACTCGAACCGACGGCCACAGTGGTCCTAGCTGAGCGCCGTAGGAGGAGTCAAAGTGCTGCAGGGCCAGGCGGGTGGGGGGGTGCTTAGGCTGGGTGGCGGCCTGTCCAAAGAGAAACCTAACATTAGTGTGAAATTTGACTTCAGGGTTGCCGTTACTTTACCGGTGTGACCTGTATTTCACCATGGGGACAACCTGAAGCCTCGAACAGTGAGGAGAATCTAGAAAGTTCCTGTCTGCTGGCACAAGATAGTGTCTATGTGTTAGAGAGGCCCCAAACCACAGTGGGATGGCGTCGGTGAGACCCTCCTCATGACATGCCACAACTCCATGGCCGGTTTTGATGACTCATGTGTGTGTGTGTGTGTGTGTGTGTGTGGGGGGGGGGGGGGGTAGGGGGGGCACACTCCCAATCAAGAGATCTAATCCTCCGGTTAAGAGGAGGACGTGGCTCCACACACGGTGCACGTGAGTTTCACCGAGCAGGCAGCCTACAGCACCCAGCATGAAAAACCTTTGGTGTGTTTTTGCTACGGTGGGTTGTAGTGCACCTCCACGGCCGCGTGGTGGTGCACGCAGCTGCTTCAGTGTCTGCAGAAGAATAAACACTAAAGGGACTGCGTCCCCCGGTGGACTACATTCAGGCAGTAAGCCACCATGATCAGAATAGTTTCAGAAAAATGACCAAAAACAGAAATACCAAGAACCTACATTTTGTAAAACAGTAAATGTAAAATAGGATGGGCGATGTTAAAGACAGCTCAAGTATAAAACATAAGCAGTGCTTTACTTTTTAAACTAGCCAGCTAGACGTCGTGTTTCAGGCATTATTTATCAGGTGTTTGCTTCCTGAGCAGCGGCACGTCTGTCAAACGCACCGTTCCGCTGCTGTACTAGTTTACGCTGATGTAGGGCTTCGTACCGTACCCATTTCTCTTTCACTCGGTTCCGTCGAGGCGTCAGCCTGATCAGCTCGCAGACTTTTCTAAAGAAAACTGGAAACCTGTTCAAGAGCAGCGCCATGATCCCGTCCGTCAGCTTTTCTAGTCCGGCTCTAATCCTGTGTTCCAAACAATGGTTCCGAGTCGCTCACGCTCCGGCTGTGTCTCAATTCAGGGTCTGCATCCTACCTCGGCCGGATTCGTCGGCCGGTTACGTCACAGCGCCGCGACTCGGCCTGTCCCAATTCGAAGACTCCTTCAAATGCGGTCGACGAATGCGGCCTTCTTTTCGCCTGAATGAAGGATGGGTCGGGTGTATCCTTCAATAGGTAGCATTTCCCAAGATGCCTTGCGGGCCGGCCGGCAGAAAAACTTAAAAACAATGGCGGACAGTGAAGCGGGAGCTGTCGGAGAGGATTGCGCATATAAATGTAAGTATAAACTTGAAAACTGTCAGTTTAAGGACTTTTTGTGATACATGAACGTTATTTTAGTTAGAAATGTTACAGTAAAAGTGCTTGTATTGCGGTCTCGGCTCGTATGTTCGGCCGCGCTCGGTGTCGTACTTCTCCCACTACGTTTCCCCCTGATTTTAATAGAAGTTTGTATTTTAGGACCAAAAGAGAAAACCAGGGAATTTATTAAGCTTAGGGCGGAGATGGACCACATGATCACCGGAGCAAAGTATTCGGCGGCTGTGGCATGGAGGTACAATAACATCTCATATTTTAAAAACTCGTTTGAGTATATTTTTTTTCTGCGAAAACATGAAAGGAATAACCCGTTGTCCTCTTTTCTCTTCCTGTTTCTTTTCTTACATGTTTGTTAAGACTATTCTGGAGAAAATGGGCATCCAGGGGAAGGTGCCAGCGATGAGCTTCTGGAGCTGATCTGGGAGGACATGAGGCTGCAGAGCAGCAGAGAGCACAGGAGAGAAGGAAGAACTTTGACAGCTTTTTACTTTGCTAGAAAAAAATGGTTAATGAAGATTAAACATGTACATGTAAAAGAAATATCTAAATAAAATCAGTTCTGCATTAAACTCTTGAATTTTATTTTTGTTTACAAATGAGAATTGTTTACTAGAGGGTATCCGCTGGGTCTTAAAAAGTTTTAAAAGGTGATAAATGGGTTTTGGTCAAATTAAGACCCTTAGAAAGTATTAAAAACTATTATCACATCTTTGCTCAGGCTCAGCTAGTCTAAAGTATTTTCTCTGAATTAGCTCTCCAACAGTCAAGGAAATGATTAACCCCCAGAGACCCACGGTTGTAGTATCACAACATCAGATTTAAGTCTACAAAAATAAACCTTCCCCATTTTTTTTCTTTTTAAAACCACATTTACATTGCTAATAGGTCCTATTCAGTTCTGCAACACTATTGGCTGTTAAAATGTGTAAATAGGCCCGTTTATCTGGCCTCCTAGAACAACATGTGAAAGGTTAAAAATATTTTGCAGTTGTTTTCTAAATTTGGGTTTCTGGGGGTTAAAAAGCTAAATAAAACGTCGAGCTCCATCGTTTAAGGTTCCTTCTGCCCAGCGGTTCCACGGTTGCTAGGCGACGGAACGTTCGCCGAGGGAGTTCATGAAGGCTAGGCCTGTCCAAATTCACAGCCGTTAACATCCGGTCTACCCGGCCGACGGAGGACGCAGCCCACGTCGGCCGGGTGGGCTGGGTCCTTCGAAGGATGCAGACCCTGAATTGAGACACAGCCTTCGTCTCCTCAGAAGAGGACTTAGACCATCATTTTTGTGCAATTTTATACAAATATTTTGGTTAGATTTTCATGCCTGGCTTTGTTCTAGTGGGATGCAAATTGCCCCATTTACCTTAAATATGATAATGTTTGGAGTGTTTTTGACAGAAAAGAAAGTTAGTTATGGTGTTAATGTGTTATTAATTTTGTGTAAACAATTTATACATAAATGTCGATTTTTTCAGACCAAACCAACTCTAGCCTATTGGAAAAACGACTTAAAATTATTAGTTAATCTTTGAATTTAGTCAAAAAGAAAAAGGTTGGTTTGTTTATTTCCTTTGTAGAAGATTTTGAGTTAGTAAATTAATAATCTGTTAATTATGTGACCCCATCTTTAGATTTTCTTTTTTATTTTTTTCATATACGTGAAAATGTTTAATATGCATGTAATGATTATCTTTTGAATATATAATGTAAGGTGCATTTTGTTTGTATGTTATCTTCTCTAATAAAAAAAAAAGCTCCGTCTCCTCCATTTCCGGTCGGCTCGTTGGTCGCCGGAAGCGTAATTTGGAGCGTTACATGTCCCCATGTCCCGACACATAGATATGTATGTAACATATCTATGTTTACATTAATATATACACATGAATATAAACACAGATATTAATATAAACATATCTATGTTTATATTTATGTGTATATATGAATATAAACATAGATATGTTTATATTAATATCTGTGTTTATATTTATGTGTATATATTAATATAAACATAGATATGTTTATATTAATATCTATGTTTATATTTATGTGTATATATTAATATAAACATAGATATGTTTATATTAATATCTGTGTTTATATTTATGTGTATATATTAATATAAACATAGATATGTTTATATTAATATCTATGTTTATATTTATGTGTATATATGTTTATATACAATTCTATGTCTGCGATTGTGTCCAAACTCAGGGGCTGCTCTCGAGTAGCGGTCCTCACGGGTCTCAGGAGAACATGTTCTTCCATGACCGGTTAGACCGGATTTAACAGCTTTTGTTTTTATTGCAATTTCTCATGGAAACAACAACAAATATAGCAACATGCAAGGCATGAATCCTAACAGTAAAAAAAAAAGAAAAAACACAAGTTTAAAAAACAAAAAGAGGCACTTGTAAGTGAAAAGTGTTACAGGATCAAAAACCTGTTAGCAGCAGGACAAATGGCTTCTGCAGCTGCATTGGAGTTTTAATGTGGATAAGAAGAAGACGAAGAAGAAAATATCATTTCTATAGCGCTTCTCAAGATAAAAAATTTTAAATATAAAAATAATTTAGAAAATGATTAAAAATATATTTAAAATGAGCAAAAATAGACAGTTGTGGTTATAAAATGTTAAGAAAGAGAGAGAGTGAACAAGAAAGAGGGAAATCAGTGGATCCTGAGGAAGGTGGAATAGGTGGGGAGAGCAGAACAAGGAGGATGAAGAAGGTCACACCAAAACCTGAACAGGTGAGTCTTCAGCTGCTTTTTAAAGGAGACCACTGAGTCCACTGATCTCAGGCTCAGGGGGAGAGAGGTCCAGAGTCTGGGGGCCACAGCAGCAGATGATCTGTCACCTTTGACCTTTAGCCTGGTGCTGCATGACCAGTAGGGTTTGGTCACTGGACCTCAGGGACCTGCTGGAGGTGTAGGGACTGTAGGTGTAGGGACGGAGAAGATTATAAGAACATACAGAATTCATTTATAAACCACTTTAAATCTGGCAGTTGTTTATTATTATTATTATTATTATTATTATTATTATGAATAAATACAACGTTAATTAAAGATGAAACAATACCGCTTGATTTAGTATTGTAAATAAGAATATGTTCATTTGTAAAATGATCAAGTTCTCTGATTTTATTTGCTAACAACAATGGAGTTCCCCCTAAACGTATCGCTAACAGGACAGCTGACTGATAGGGTTTCTGTCCCTTCAGGGTTTCTGTCCCTTCAGGGCTTCCATGACAGAGGTCGCAAAGGTCAACTTCAAAACCAGATCTACTCCTCAGTGTCTCTGCTGATGGATACGAGCTGTTAACCATCTTGGGCTGCATGGTGGTGCAGTGGTTAGCACTGTTGCCTCGCAGCACGAAGGTTGCAGGTTCAAAACTCGGCTGTGGCCTTTCTGCGTGGAGTTGCGTGTTCTCCCCATGCATGCGTGGGTTTCCTCCGGGTACTCCGGTTCCCCCCACAGATCACAACATGCCCTATAGGTTATAACCTGTACGTCGTTTTGGATAAAAGCGTCTGCTAAATAAATAAACATAAACATCTTAAATTGCATTTCTTTTACTTTGGGTGCTATTGTCCATTTAAAAAAAATTAAATGTTTGTCTTGGATTTCCTAATATTTTTAATTCAAACTTTCTATCAAAATCATGATAGAAACATCCTTTAAAGCAGCAGTACTCAATAGGCGGCCCGCGGGCCACCTCCGGCCTGCGAGCCCTCTCTTTGTGGTCCCCAACCCCGCGCGCCCCCGACGGCTGATGGGAGGTTTAGGATAGAGCTGAGGAAAAGAATCAATGCACTGAGATGCGGGCATGAACGATTGTGTGTGAGCGAATGCAAGGCTTAGACACCCACAACCAGAGCCCCAGGCGGGTCTGCTCCCAATAAGGAACCGAGGCAGAGGTAGAGAAAAAAATAACTTCCTGCTCGAAGCGCTCAGTCAGACCGAGGGCTGTGATGTCGGGAGATCCGGTCTTGGGGAGGGGGCGGGGTCAGTGACGGCGGCTGCAGCGTAACCTGTCTCTTATTTAGAGACACGGAGAAGTTACAAGGAGAGAGAAATAAAGACAGAAGTTCTTGTTCCACTTTATTCTTTTGTTCCATGATGATAAACTGATGTTAAATTCAGCTGAAAGAGAAACTGGGAGGGAGCGTTGGTTCATTTTAGGTTACAGGAGGTCTTGTCTCCTACCTGCTCCTCCAGAGACAGCATGGACATGAGGGTCACATGGACATGAGGGTCACATGGACATGAGGGTCACATGGTGAGGGTCACATGGTGAGGGTCACATGGACATGAGGGTCACATGGACATGAGGGTCACATGGACATGAGGGTCACATGGTGAGGGTCACATGGTGAGGGTCACATGGACATGAGGGTCACATGGTGAGGGTCACATGGACATGAGGGTCACATGGTGAGGGTCACATGGACATGAGGATCACATGGACATGAGGGTCACATGGTGAGGGTCACATGGACATGAGGATCACATGGACATGAGGGTCACATGGACATGAGGGTCACATGGTGAGGGTCACATGGTGAGGGTCACATGGACATGAGGGTCACATGGTGAGGGTCACATGGACATGAGGGTCACATGGTGAGGGTCACATGGACATGAGGGTCACATGGACATGAGGGTCACATGGACATGAGGGTCACATGGTGAGGGTCACATGGTGAGGGTCACATGGACATGAGGGTCACATGGTGAGGGTCACATGGACATGAGGATCACATGGACATGAGGGTCACATGGACATGAGGATCACATGGTGAGGGTCACATGGACATGAGGGTCACATGGACATGAGGGTCACATGGTGAGGGTCACATGGTGAGGGTCACATGGACATGAGGGTCACATGGTGAGGGTCACATGGACTGAGGATCACATGGACATGAGGGTCACATGGTGAGGGTCACATGGACATGAGGATCACATGGACATGAGGGTCACATGGACATGAGGGTCACATGGTGAGGATCACATGGACATGAGGGTCACATGGACATGAGGGTCACATGGACATGAGGGTCACATGGACATGAGGGTCACATGGTGAGGGTCACATGGTGAGGGTCACATGGACATGAGGGTCACATGGACTGAGGATCACATGGACATGAGGGTCACATGGACATGAGGGTCACATGGTGAGGGTCACATGGACATGAGGGTCACATGGTGAGGGTCACATGGTGAGGGTCACATGGACATGAGGATCACATGGACATGAGGGTCACATGGACATGAGGGTCACATGGACATGAGGGTCACATGGACATGAGGGTCACATGGACATGAGGGTCACATGGACATGAGGGTCACATGGACATGAGGATCACATGGACATGAGGGTCACATGGTGAGGGTCACATGGACATGAGGGTCACATGGACATGAGGGTCACATGGTGAGGGTCACATGGTGAGGGTCACATGGACATGAGGGTCACATGGACATGAGGGTCACATGGACATGAGGGTCACATGGACATGAGGGTCACATGGACATGAGGATCACATGGTGAGGGTCACATGGACATGAGGGTCACATGGACATGAGGGTCACATGGTGAGGGTCACATGGTGAGGGTCACATGGACATGAGGGTCACATGGTGAGGGTCACATGGACTGAGGATCACATGGACATGAGGGTCACATGGTGAGGATCACATGGACATGAGGGTCACATGGACATGAGGGTCACATGGTGAGGGTCACATGGACATGAGGGTCACATGGTGAGGGTCACATGGACATGAGGATCACATGGACATGAGGGTCACATGGACATGAGGATCACATGGACATGAGGGTCACATGGTGAGGGTCACATGGTGAGGGTCACATGGACATGAGGGTCACATGGTGAGGGTCACATGGTGAGGGTCACATGGACATGAGGGTCACATGGACATGAGGATCACATGGACATGAGGGTCACATGGACATGAGGGTCACATGGACATGAGGATCACATGGACATGAGGGTCACATGGACATGAGGGTCACATGGACATGAGGATCACATGGACATGAGGGTCACATGGACATGAGGATCACATGGACATGAGGGTCACATGGACATGAGGGTCACATGGACATGAGGATCACATGGACATGAGGGTCACATGGACATGAGGGTCACATGGTGAGGGTCACATGGTGAGGGTCACATGGACATGAGGGTCACATGGTGAGGGTCACATGGACATGAGGGTCACATGGTGAGGGTCACATGGACTGAGGATCACATGGACATGAGGGTCACATGGTGAGGGTCACATGGACATGAGGGTCACATGGACATGAGGGTCACATGGTGAGGGTCCCACAGGGCAGGTTAGACAGGTGTTGTCCTGCTTTATATTGCAAGCTTGTGTGTTGTGTGTTCTACAGCCAGCGACCCACACAGCAGCACCCACCCCGGTCCGACCGGGCCTCTTGCTTCTGGGTCTCTTCTGAGTGGCCCTGGGACCGTTATAATGGAGGACCCCTGCTTTAAAGACTCAGTTTAAACATTTTATTTTCACACTTTCTGTCAGTAACGTTTCATTCTCCTGTTGTTAAATTAGGATGTTTGGTTTGAACATTAGAGAAGAGTTGCCACCGGGACAGGCTTACAGGTTTTCCTCTATGGGAACGTTGAATGTTGTTAAATTTGTATTTAACATCTCGTGGTTGTAATATTCCACCACTCTAACCAGAATACCAGGCACAAAGAGAATTCCCTGGTCAAACGGCTGCTGGTGGAACAAAAACGTGTCTGAAACAAGTACTCGATTACTCCACAAGGTGGCACTACTGGGGCAAATTATGGGCAAATACATCTTCCAGTGATGCAAAAGTTGTTTATGAAACTCAGGTCATGTAAAAGGCATCTTGGTGATTTCCAATCACATTTCAGAAGAAAGTTGAAGCCACCAAACATCTTAAAGACATTGTCTGGAGTTTGAAACCAAATTGGCTTAAATAGAAATTCTTTCAACCACTTTACTTTAAATGTTCCCAGCATTGCTTCAAAACCACTGATTTCACGCCTCCATCGTCACGTTCTTTAACCGACTGAGACAGTGATGAGTGGTTTTATTTCTCCACACAAGTTTGTATAATAGAGTTAATATTGTCCCAGTTTTTGGAGTGATGAAAGAGATGGACGCGGATGAATCAGCTGGGAAAACGCTCGGGCGATATTTTATTTCCTTTCTAACAGGAATTGACATCATTTCTTCACATTCAAACAGTGAAATTAATTCACGTGTTTTCGTGTTCAGATGAAAACCTGCTGCTCTGGAACAAAGTAAACCATCTAGTGCTACCATAGCTTTGTCCCCAACAGTTAAAGTGGTATCATCTGCAAACTGACTTCGGCGAAATTCATCATCAAGAAAATGATACCCTGGAAATTTGGATGATTTATGATCAGGTCTGCTAATAGTTGTGTAGATAAACAGCTCGGGGCTAAATGGGCATCTTATTCCACAGGTTGTATTTATTCTTCTGGTTAGTCCTGAGCTTAAGGAAACGTGCCTGCACACGTCTGAACAGAACATTTTATCACTGAACAACATTTATGATCAAAACCAAAATGTTAGCCGATTTTACGGCTGTGGATTTGGACAGTCTAGTTCCGCCATTTGGAATCAAACTTTATTTAGTAAATCTACAAACAAACATGGGACGTCCCAACCCTAAAGTCAACAGGAGCCGTTCACATCCACTGGTGCATGCAAACGAAGTGAAACTAAAACCATAAATAACAAGCAGAGCACAGCTATGACGTTCATCACATTCAGATATTCATATTTCAGCTAATCTGTTCTAGCTGCTGGCGTGTTTCAGGGACTGTAGAAATGACTGAAATTCAGTTAGAAATCACTGAAGACGGGATGATTTTAAAATGTGTCGTTTATAGATAAAAATGAGGAGTTTATTATAGCAGAGGTCCTTATCTTGAACTTCCAAATATTGTCATGTCTTCACTTTGATCCACATCTGTTTCCACAATAATTGTGTTTTCTGCCGTCCGTAAAGGATGATCTGAAGTTTCTATCTGGCTTTCACAAAACGAGCAGCTGTTGCCATCGACGTGGCGGCCAGGGTTTCTGAAGGGCAGACTGCTCTCATCGTTTTGAAGTGGACTTCTTTAGCGTTGGTGGAACAGCTCGTTGTAGGTAGATGTAAATGATGTCATTTTGTTTGTTTTTCCAGGAAATAAAGATTCATTTAAGGCCGATCTTATTATAAGGTTATTGCATTTTCTGTCAGGTAACAGCAGATATTTAACAGATAAGGGTTGGAATAATATATGTATTATTTCTGCAAAGGGGACCATGTAGATCCATGAAGTGTATAAGACCATCTATGGTTATCTAACCCTTCTTTAGTGATTTGTTTTTGTGTAATATAAATAATTGTAGCGTGGTGTGTAGTTATGTACATATTTGATCATTTCCAGTACAATAACATGTGTTTATGGAACGTTTAATGTGGAACCCACCTTCCCTCTGGTTTTAGGCACACACACATGCAGGCCTTGTCGTGTTGCTAATTACGTTGATCTTGCTCAATTAGAAGAGTAACGAGGACACTTGTAGCCGCCATAGTTCTGGTCTGGCAACTGACTCGACAGCGCCCCCTGCTGCAGCCATGTGTACCTGCACACATCAGACTAAATCCTGCTTTTCCACATGGAGCTGCAGGTCCATCCGCCCATCTTCCTTCAGCTCAGCATCATTCCTGTCAGAGGGAATTCAAACCCTTCTGGATCCATGATTAAATAGCTTGTGCAGCGCGTGACCTCCAGCTCGACTGGAGCGGTGTGTGAAGCAGCTGGCTGAGAAACAGCTGCTCTAACAACATTTATGTAACCCTTAGAGATCCGATCCTGTCGCAGCTGAAAACAGAAGCAGTAAACATTTTGATGATGAAATTAAACGGGACCTCGTCAGACACGTTGGCCTGACCCTAACCCAGTTTAGTCTGATCCAAACTGAGAAGTTTGGGCTCTGGAGCAGATTACTTCCTCATCCACATGGTCCGAGACTTCTTTAACCCTCCAGCCAGGATCTGGTCCACTGATGGAGGGTTGAGGGACTAGAAAATAAAGTTTTTTTTTCTTTGTTCAGTTAAACCATCGACGCAGGTCGTAGTCACTGAGATGAAGCGTTGATCTTGTTCTGAGCAAAGCAAACCTGCCATGTTTGTGTAACGTTAGAGGAAAATACCAAGTTGGGTTTGATCCTTTTAATGAACCAAAGACTCAATTTTCAGTCGAGGTGAATAAAGATAAAAACCAGATCGTAATGCTGTTGAAGCTGCTCGAAATCCAGTTTTCATCCTGAAGGCTGAAAAAAAATCCTTGTAAAGATTAGTTAAGCCACACCGGCAGACATTCCCTCCGCTGGTTTTGATTCACACCTTTTATCGTTCGATGGTCTCTAGACCCCTGGAATCAGGGTTGCATTGTTCATCAGGGCTCCTGGGCCATTTTGAGCCCCAACAAAAGCAGCCGTTAGCAGATCCTCTCAACAGTCAGTGAACTGGTCCAGACTCCCGACGCCAGGCCTCCTCTTTCTCCTCTGAAGATCGGAGTCCCTTTTAAAAATGCTTTTCCATCCTTTTTTTTTTTGGTCATGCATGGGAGCGCGTCATCGGTGAGGGGAGCGCGTCATCGGTGAGGGGAGCGGGTCATCGGTGAGGGGAGCGCGTCATCGGTGAGGGGAGCGGGTCATCGGTGAGGGGAGCGCGTCATCGGTGAGGGGAGCGCGTCATCGGTGAGGGGAGCGCGTCATCGGTGAGGGGAGCGGGTCATCGGTGAGGGGAGCGCGTCATCGGTGAGGGGAGCGGGTCATCGGTGAGGGGAGCGCGTCATCGGTGAGGGGAGCGGGTCATCGGTGAGGGGAGCGCGTCATCGGTGAGGGGAGCGGGTCATCGGTGAGGGGAGCGCGTCATCGGTGAGGGGAGCGCGTCATCGGTGAGGGGAGCGCGTCATCGGTGAGGGGAGCGCGTCATCGGTGAGGGGAGCGCGTCATCGGTGAGGGGAGCGCGTCATCGGTGAGGGGAGCGGGTCATCGGTGAGGGGAGCGCGTCATCGGTGAGGGGAGCGCGTCATCGGTGAGGGGAGCGCGTCATCGGTGAGGGGAGTGCGTCATCGGTGAGGGGAGTGCGGGCGACGCCGTCCTCTGCCGCCCGCAGATGAAGTGGTTGAAACGTTAGCAAGGTAAAAAAACCTTTCCTGAGTTAAAGGACCTAAAATCAGGTTTTCCATAAACCATGAAACAAAAAGCTCGGTGGTCGGAGTAAAACTTTATTAGAATACATGCAGTCATAAATAAGCTAAACATGATGGAAACAAGTCCAATAAAAAGAGCCTGATGTTCCAGAAGTGACCAGCAGGGTGCAGTAGAGCTCAGCGCTGCCCTCAGCAGAGTGCCCTGGAGTCAGAGGACTTCCCTTCTTCCAGCATTTTCCTTGTTGCAGAAGGACTCCTCCATGGAGGCCTGCAGCCACAGAGCAGCGTTGTTGACCTCCTCCCACGTCATTCACGTTTGAACCCTCAGCAGGTCACTCACCTGCACGAGGAGCCGCTCCTTTCTCAGTCTCTCATAGAAGAGCAGGGCATCTGGATCTGCTCGGACCACATAGGGGTCAAAATCCATGACCCTGAGTCCCTCCAGGCTCCGGGCCCGAGACAGAGCCACGTAGGCCTGGCCGCTCTCAAACACACGGGCCAGAGAAATCTCCACACAGTCCAGGCTCATCCCCTGGAATGAAACCAAGCAGTTTAAGAAGAGCTGGGCTGCAGCCCAGAGGAGAGGACATGTCTGAGAACACCAGTACAGTCCCAGCCTCCATTAGGTTTAATCCCAGCATGAGGGCCCAGCAGCACCAGGACCGGTCGGGTCCACCAGAGCACGTGATCAGGAATGAACCAAAGGGGAGTGATGCAGCTGGCCCCTAACCGCATGTCAGGCTGAACTGAAGGGGTCGAGCCCTTTGCACAAACGTACTGTGGCTTAGCGCCTTGGAAACACTTCCATTTCAGTAACCATGGAAACGCTTAAATGGATGCTTCCAGGTCTCCAACAAACCAAATCACCTACATGTTCCTTCGCTCTCCAGCCAATTTGTGGAGTCTGGGTCAGGATGTGGCAGCGGAGGTGCTGCTGCTGGTGTGGCGGCTGGGAGGGAGGGAAGTGTCGCCTCTGGTCCCACCACCCCACGGAGGAAACCACTAACTGTGTTCCAGTTTCACACACTAAAGAGCGTCAACAGGAAACGAGGACAACCCACAGGAGATTGGATCTGAAGAGGGAGGGCGGGTCGCGTCACGACTCGGGAGTAGCAGGTTCATACGAGGAGACGCTACATGGAAACTAAACCAACATTTATTTGTGATGAAAGCGACCAGCAGGTTACTGGAGGCAGCACGGGGTTTTCACCCTCATGCTACAGCCCACAGGTAAGAGTCCACCCACCTCTCACACACCAGCATGTTCCTGCTGCTGCAACACAACCCAGACTGGGAGGGTAGACACCCTAGAGCAGGACCTACATCACCATGGACGGGGTAATGAAGTTTTCCTTCTGTTGGAGTCAAAGTGATGCAACACTGCCACACACGAGAGGAGTCGTAGCAAAACAAACACTCGTAAACATAGAACACCATTTAATGCTCAGAACACACTTAAATACCACATCAGCGGTGGCGTCGGGTCGCCGCACCATCACACCGGGTAGAAAGCACCATTTAACACGAGCATGAGCGCTAGCTGTGGCGCTGCACGTCGAAGGTGTGAGATTTGTTTCAGACGTTGGTGAGGAACTATTACCCCCCCCCCCCCACACACACTGTGTGTTACTTCCTCTGATCCACGGTAAAGTACGGATTTCCCACGTTTACTACACGTTAACTCTTATCGGAGGGCTAGTGTGTCACCAGTCTAACACATCTGATTGTGTCATGTGTGGAGCTCTACAGGATCAGCTGGCTGTAAACGTCTGCCTCCACCCTCGCGTTCACTACCCCTGTGGGACTCTTAGGATTCTCTGATTAAATCTTTATCGATGCAAATGTGATCAGATCTGTGGCTCCAACCTCCGCACCCTTCTACCCACGTCCTCACTGCACCTCCTCTGGACATGTCCACCCCCCTCTGCCCCTCCAGACCTCATCACGCGCCTCAGCTCCTCCGCGTTAAACCGGACCCACTAGACGTTGTACCGGACCCGCGAGACTAGTTGTACCGGGCCCGCTAGACTAGTTAAACCGGACCCGCTAGACGTTGTACTGGACCCGCGAGACTAGTTGTACCGGGCCCGCTAGACGTTGTACCGGACCCACTAGACGTTGTACCGGACCCGCTAGACGTTGTACCGGACCCGCTAGACGTTGTACCGGACCCGCTAGACGTTATACCGGACCCGCTAGACGTTATACCGGACCCGCTAGACGTTATACCGGACCCGCTAGACGTTATACCGGACCCGCTAGACGTTGTACCGGGCCCGCGAGACTAGTTGTACCGGGCCCACTAGACTAGTTAAACCAGGCATTACTACTCCCATAGTGAATAAAAGTTCTGGGCCAGTATTTGATTCCAGGAGCTGCGCGACTAACAAAGCTGCTCCAGCAGTCGGACGGGGACGTTTGCTCCTGGCAGCAGGTTGTGGGAGGACTAGCCCAGCGGTGGAGTCTGGTCTCACCTGGCTCTTGTGGATGGAGATGGCCCAGGCCAGCTTGAGAGGCAGCTGCTGTCGGCTCAGGTGGGTCCCTCCAGCAGACCTGAACACCCACCGCTCCGGCTTTAGGACCTCTGTGACCCCACACAGGAAGTGCACACGTGGAAGTCCTGAGGACACGACAGACAAAATTAATAAAATGCTTCTTTCTTCCTACTTTTTTCTGCCTCCAACAGAAGTTCAGATCTTTCCTTAATCAGATTCAATCCAGCGGATTTAAAAAGCTTCGATCACGACCAGAGTGGCCTCAAGGCGCTTCACGCTGGAACATATAAACGCCCAAAACCCACTTTTACTGATCATCTCTGATTCTAGCGGGTCACTGTGAGTGTGTCATGCAGGCTGAACATGAAGATAGTCTCCTACACCTACCTCCTGCAGTAGCTTCTGATAGAAAACAGATTCTAGGTGAAGCTCTAGGATAGAAAATCCTGACAGATCTACGTCACCCTGTCACTAACATTCATGGACTCACCCATCTGGGGAAGGCTGTTGTTGGTTTAGTCCAGGAAACAGCAGAGAACGCCTCTGCTAGTAGAAACTAACCATTAGCATTAGCAACTCCACCACACAGCAGAACTCCTCCAGGCTTGTGTTATTGGTGGAGATAAAACTTCACCGTAGCCGAGCAGACAGAGGTAGAGTCGTGTAGAAACACATGTACAACCTTCCGTTCAGGCTCATGACAAACATCTACCTGGTTTCAGTTCCAATAACACACACACACACACACACACGCGCGCACACACACACACACACACCTGATGCATCGGTGATCAGGTGTGTGAGAAAAGCTGAATAATACAAACCTTGACTTCCTGATTCAAACGCTACGACAACTCCACGCGCGCCATTCACCAGACCTCGAGCCACATCCAGGTTCTTCGTCAACATGACCTTCAAACACACACACACACACACACACACACACACACACACACACACACACACACACACACACACACACACACACACACACACACACACACACCAAAGTGAGGACCATCCATTGACTTCAGTTCATTTATTGAGTGCATCACGCCTAAACCCTAACTAGTGCTGATCTACTCCTAACCCTAGCTAAACCACACACACACACACACACACACACACACACACACACACACACACACACACACACACACACACACACACACACACACACACACACACACACACACACACACACACACACACACACACACACACACACACACACACACACACACACACACACACACACACACACACACACACACACACACACACACACACACCTGGGCTCCCACTTTGAGCTGGATCCGTCTGCTGACGGGACTGTGAGCATCTATGACCCTCACCAGCTGCGGGTCGCTGTCCAGAGCCTCGAAGACCCGCTCTGACCCTGAGGAGCAGAGACAGCATCACCGCTGAGCGCCGACACCAAACAGGTGCCGGGTGGTCAGAACAAAGCGGCTCCACCAGAACAGGAGTGACGGCTTTCACCACTAAGCAGCACCTGCTCCAGGTCAATGATCCAATCAGAGGGCAGACTCAGACCTGGCAGCTGCTGGAGTTTGTTCTCATTCGTGAGCTCCACGTCATCCTTGTGCGTGCATAGCCGTGTAGCCAGGACCCCGTCCCTCTCGATCCGATGGCCAGCGCTTCTCTTCAGCTTGGCCGTGACTTCCTCCGTCACCCTGA